GAGAAGGGACGTCTGTCACCTTCATTAATCTTATCTGGGGATTGCTCTGAAACAAAGCGTTTCGTGAGCCTGAACAAAAACACCGGGGGAGCGCTCGGCGGCGAATTCTTTTGCACGCTCCCTTTTTGTTTTGTATGATTTCCAACATTTCTGGCAAAAACATTTCCTCTGACTGTTTTCCTTCTAGAAACAGCCTCTTCCAGACAGGGCTGCTTTGCCACTATTTAACTGGGTAGACACAAGGCTATTTAAAACACAGAGCTGGAACATTAGCAAAACACTTGTCTCATTCCAAGACAAGCAGGGAAGGGGAGGGTGCACATCCCCGGGGTGCAACCTTGCTCGTCCCCGGGAGGTTTATGCCTGCGTCATGCCGATTTGTGCTGAATTTAAGGCTTCTGGGGATGGAGTCTGTGACAAAATCTGACAAGATTTTTTAGAAGCCGCTAGTTCACAGGCTTCAGTATTTATGATTTTTGGCTGCTGGCTCTCGCGCACTCTGCGGTCAGCAGTTTAATTATTTACCAGGCTATATACAGCACTGTTCAAGCAGCAACCATCAAATCCGACATTTTGATAATGCGAGGGTAATTGGGTTATTTTTTTTTTCCTCCCACCAGCTCAAACCCCCTATTCTGCTGGGAGATGCAGAGTCATAGCTCTGCTGGATTGGCTTCCCGCCACCTCGCTGCTCCTTTAAAACCCCATACCTCCCATTGAAGGAACTCGGTGTCCTGTTCGCCAGGAGGACGTCAATGTTTCTATGGAAACTCTTCCCAAAGATTCTCGCTCTGCGCTTGCCGCCGCTGCGTATTGTATGACCGGCTTTGTACACTGCAATTCATTATTGAGGCTGTGACGAAAGGGAGCAGCTTTCTGTCCAAAGGGAAAAAGCATTAAAAAAAAAAAAACCCAAACAAAAAAACCTACGCCCCCCCCCACCTTAATATTAATAAAATAAGCCACTAAAACCAAAGGTGCTAAAGCTGTTTGGTATTTGAGTTATGAATGGAATCTGCTCGCCTGTGCTTCTTGCAATGAAAAATACCCTTTCCTGAATAATTAGCTCAGCTGAAGAAGCTTATAAATTCTACGTAAGGTCCTTTTTCTTCCGAGTAGCTAGGGGAAAATTTTCCACCTCTCGCCATCACAATCACGATGATGGATGAGTGTCACACAGGTAACAAATGGGCCTGAACAAGAACCCTGTGCATGAACTGCTTTGAGCACAGGGGAGGCTCAGATCCAGGCTCAGATTTCGCATTTGAATTAACGTCTGCGAAGGGGGCGCAGAATTAATAGGCTGAAGGAAGATTCACATTAATTTCCCATTTTCCTCAATAACAGGAAATTGCTGGGACCAGCGGAGAATGTGTTGATGGCGTTTAGGTACACCTCCCTTACTAATTACGTCCAAAGGTGGCCAGATCGCTAACCCTTCTGCAAATGAGCACCGGGTATTACGTATTAGGAAGGCAGAAGGTCTGGATTTTGTTCCCACTTCTATCGTAGATTTGCTGTTATTTTATATTCAGAGGAAACTGTTAACTTTGAAAATCTGGAATTTCTAGGTGCTGGTCTGAAGGAGCCTGGGACCCAATTCTCAGCAGGGCTGGGAAACCTTAACTCCCGCTGGAAGCAGCGGCAGGCTCTCGGCATCTCAGGAAATCAGATTGCAGGTGTCCCAAAGCAGCTCCCCCGAAATCGAGGCACTCAACTAGTGACACTTGCAGAAGGGCAACCCCTTAACCCAGCAGAAGTCTGAGATCTCTTGAAGAAAAACATTACGTTCACACACTATGCTGGGAAATGGCACTGAGTAAAAACCTGAGTAAAGACGAGGATAAGAGGAGACAAGTATTTTATTTTTAAACCTTATGAATTTCTGAGTAGTTCTGCTTTGCACTTTTCTACGGAGGAAGGCAGGGTTGGGAAAATAGGAATTTCAAACTCTGCTAGCTGCCTGATACTGTGCTAAAGACTTGTATTACCTTTAATTGATGTTTCTGAGTGCATCCTCATTGATTTACTCCAGCCGCGCTCTTTATGCAGAGAACATTCTATTCTCAGAGTGTAATCTAGACCCATGCAAACAATATAGATGTTTCCTGATAACATAATTTAGAAAGAGGAGATGTAATTACTGCCTATGCTGAATACACAGCATCTCTGTGCTTGCCAGCGCACCGCGAACCCGTGACCCCTTTCAGAATCCGTACAGGGAGAAACTCCCAAATCCTTCAATGTGGTTCTCATTTTGCTGAAAGCCTTTTCCATCTTATTAAATACGCTGGCCCTCGTGCCTTTGATTTTTAGCTTCCTAACGATAGCTCATGCTGAAATTATTTAGAAGGATCTCAAAGGCTCTCACAGATGAAATTCAGGGATCATTCCTGCGGAAATGTGTCTATTCGTGGAAGAGGGGACAGCAGCAACGTGGACATCTGCTGCGGAGGAATGGGGAGGGGACCAGGCACGTTCTCCCTGGGGTAGCTTGTTCTTTTAAGAAGTGCAGCGAAGCAGGTTCTTGCTTTTAAGGACTTCTCTTAAATACTTGAAGAGGAGGTTGGAACTCATCCGACCTGCTCCAAGAAAAAGTCTGCTTGCCTATACGTAGTCCAATTGCTGTGATTTAAGATGAGAAGTTGGAGTGCTTTGGTCTTACAAATCATCCCATAAGCACTACGTTTCATTCTCTTCTCGCTGATGGAAGGGCGTACAGGTGAGACGTTACAATCTGAATTTTCATCTCTGGGTCAAACCTGTCTCAGTTCAGTAGTGGCTGGAGAGCATTGCCCCAAGGTGGGGTTTTATGTGAAATAAGCACGTGTCCCTCTACTGCATGGTCAGTTGAGATCCATATCACAGAAAAATCACCACTGTTATTGCTCCCTGTATCAGCTGCCTCAGGAAAAAATAAAATAATAAATTAAAAAAAAAAAATCAATGACTGAATTGGCCCTGGAGACTCAATAACTCTCCTCTCATTTAGAGAGTGGTCTCCCTGAACACTTTTCCACATTGCAAAGCCACCACATAATGGAACAATTCAGCTCAACTGACAGCCTCGGCGAAAATAGCCCCGGAGCTGCACGGGGAGATAGGAGAGGTGTTGTAGGTTAGCGCCGAGGTGCTTGGCAGGACTGTCAGCGGGAACCATGCCCACACTGAAAGAGTTTTTCAAATGACTTCAGCGAGACCAGAATTAGCTCGTAAGCCTGATGCAATGATTCAGTGCGAAGCCCTTTTGTATTTTGAGTTCCTGCTCATCAGGTATCGGCTTCTGCCCATATTCTGCAGCAGTGGTGGCAGCTTTCCCGTTGGCACCGACAGTTAATGAATGGGTACGCCTTGGGTCTGGGACCTCCTGCCGGAGGAGAAGCCCCAACTCTGCAGTCTGTTTCCTTGCTGGGATCTGATGGAGCCTAAATTTAATTTGCCCTATGACCCTGGGTAAAGCCCAGCTACAGGTAAAAAGCATTTACTGTTTAAAAGTCTTTAAACATGGTCCTAAATAGGTCTTAAGAACCAAAGGTGCATATTGCAATTACACATCAGTAGCTGGATTGGACACGGGGGGAGCAAAAGAGTTCAGCAACCACTGGGATCAAGAGAGAGCAAGGAGACCAACTTCAGGGAAAACAACAGCAACCAAAAACGTTATGAGCCCGCAGAAAATACAAGAAAAGAGGAACCAGTTTACAGAAATGAGGGTAAATACTACTGGCAGTGTTAGTCTTTTCGTCTTCATACCACTACCTATCCTCCCAAATCCCCTGTCTGGTGGGACCGGACAACCCAGAGGGTTTGGTTTAAAACCAGTTCAGGTTAATTCTGCAGAATCAGCATGGGTGAGACTAAACCATACAGCTCATGACATAACAATTTTACCCTGTTCATGCGAAGAAACCCTACGCAAGTTTAATCCGTTTTTTGGTTGTTTGTTTTTGTTTTTGTTTTTTTTTAAAGCCATTTTCTAATAAAGCAGAAGAGCAGATAAATTAATGACAGAGAGGAACCAGAGGTGAAAGTTGAGAAAAATATGTATAAATACATTTATTTTTAAATGTTTTAATTTAAAGTCACAGGAAAACCATTCACTGTGTACAGTTCCTGGGGTTTCTTTAAACAGGGAAAGAAGATTAAAGTACTAATCTCTGCCGATTTCCCTGTATAGCAGCAAAAATGAGTGTGGCTAGAAAGACTGACCTATGAGAAAAGATTAAGAGCAGCTAAATTTGTATAGCTTGGCTAAGCAACAACAGCGAATGAGGGACGCCCTGGCAGGGTGCAGAAACAGAGAAAATGGAGTATTATTTGGAAAGACAACAGAGTTAGGGGATGAAAATTAAAGAAAGGTCAGGCAGAACACTAGAAAAATGTCCTTTAAGGCTCTGGCATGTATTTTAAGCAATGAAAGCAATGGTACTCTGAAAATATAAGCACTGGGCTGAACTAAACGCTGGTGCGAGGTTCGCTGGATGCGACCAGTGACTTTAAGTGCTTCTATTCTTGAGTTTCCAAAGCAAATCACCTTTAGAAAAGTGACAGTTCAGTTCGTACTATAAATCACTGCTTCTCAAGCTAGGCATCCAGCAGCCACTGATCATTTCTTAAAATCTTGAGCAAAAATAAACCACAAGGAACAATCCTGTGCTCTGAGGGAATGGACAAGCTAATCTAATACATCTTTGTCATCTCTGGTTTCCATGACAGTTGCATAATCAGACATTTATGTAAGTAGAGGTTTCCTCCTTAAATAGCAGCCTATGATCGCATGTGCACCTACGATATAACCCATTTGAATGGAAATGACGTGCCAGTCATGTGTAAAACTAATTTTTTAATGCTTCTGTCTTATTTT